TCACCCCCACCCCCTCCACCCCCATTCCCCAGTGCATTTGTGATTGCGCGGGTTGACTGAGCTAAGTCTTCGTCGTGTATTTCCTTTATCACTGAACAAAAAACAGTTTGGTTAGAATTTATTGTATCCGCTGTTAGGTGTAAAATAAATGGAGCCACACATGCAAACATTCTACACTAATTGAATAGATGAAACTGTGTGTATGCGTTTGTGTGTTTTGGAATGCGTGTTTTTTTGTAGATGTTGTGGTTTGTGGGCATGCGAATACCTTTTTTGTTCTCTCTAACTTCTGTGTTTTGAAGAGAATGGTTTTTTTCTGTTATAAGGGTTGATTCATAAATCAAACTCGCTGAACATTTCTGAAACTATCATTGTAATTCCTTGTTTCCTGCATTATTTTGGAAATTCTAGAGTAACGTATTCATATTTATTGGTATTTAATATTCTTTTTGTCACTCTTATTTTTTAAACACTCTTGCTGACTGTTAGCTGAAATGAATGTTTTCAGGATCAGTAAATCAATAATAATTTGAAGTCCCTGTGAGTTATGTGACAATCCTGCAAAATGCACATGTTAAACTCTTTGTGAGAATTTTGGTCTTTATTTAGGCTTGTCCTCAAGTTTCGCTGACTTTGTCACATGTGCCTAAGTACTTTTAATGTATATATTTTTATATATGTGAATGTGTGTGCGTGAATATTTTCTCCGTGGGAGTGTGTGTATGTGTTGTCTTGCAGAGATATATAAGGCACAAGTCACCATTTTGAATGATAATTAGGCTAATCAATAAAAAGAAGACAAGGGAGTTATTCTGGAAAGATATGACAAGGAGGCAGTTCAAGATGCCATTAAAGATAGTAGTGTCACCAAAACAATGTATTTATTCACTATGAACATATTTACAGTATTAGGACATGGAAACTGTCTGATTATAATTTGGAAATGTATGTCTTACATGTTGATATTGTGCTGTTTGTATTTCAGTATCAATTTTTCTTTTTACTATATGTTATCGTCTATTATCATAATTCACATGTATCCTTCTGAATTTGATGTCAATTAATATTTCTTTTTATTCAGAGGTTGACAGCATTATTAGATTAAACCTAAGTATTATCTATCCACTAGTGGCATGGAGTCCTTGCTAATATTATGTTTGTTTTCTCTTCATCTGTGTGATATGTTTAAAAAAAATCCTTTTTAAACACCTTTTGTTATCAAATCTTAGGAGAATATTAATCAATGTTTCACTGTTATCAGTTTGAAGAGTGACAAGGAAAGATAAGTCGGACTGCTCCGGTCTCATTTTTTTTTTGGTATTTGTAAAAGAAAGATGTATAGTCGTTTATTTTGTTATGTTATATCTGTTTGATTAACACTTCATTTCTTGTCTTCAGCACTTTGTTTGTATTGTTCCATTAGATTGGAATCATTTCGTTAGATAATTGTGCATTTATGGCAACACTGTCTCTGCAGTTAAGGTACTGCGCTTTAACGGTTTTTTTGCCTTTCTGGTTGCTTTGTTGTGAAAGAACAAAAAGACAGAAAAATACAGAGAGGAAAAGAAGATGAAGATATCTTTGTTGCATTAACCTTGAAAATAGACTGTCTTTTTGTTTGACCTTGAAGAACGATCGTGGTCAATCTCATTGTCCAAGAACCGAAGCAGTAGACTTTTGATTTAACTTTGGTTTATTTTTAAAATCTGGCATCGGGTTTGTCATCTTTACTCATGCTTTATTTTTAAAATGATGTACACCTTTTTTTAAAATATGAAAGACTACTGTTAGAGCTGTCTCATTTTACTTGCTCCACAATTGAATTCATCTGCTCTTATTTATGTGTTACATGTTTTCCTTCAGAAGATGTTTGCTAGAGTGCTTTTACTTTTACAAAGATGACTGTGATATTTGTTATAATGCCAAACCATTGACTGTCACTCTCTATGTTACGTCTTCATTCTACCCACATTTTAAGCCTCTGCCGTCCAGTTGAGCCCCAGGCTCACCTCATTGTTTGTAGATATCAGATATGACAATAAAGCATTGACCATCAAGAGCTCCAATCTGAGTTAAGCTGTGGTGTTGAAGGTCTTAGTATTAGATTTTTAGTAAGAGTTTTATGGCGCTTGCAACACAAGTAAGTCGTGCAAGTGCTGAAGATTTGAAATGTTACCGCAGAATAACATACTTAAAAAAGAAGGAAGAGAGATGAGGGAGATAAATGTTTGACAGGAAAGAAGGAGCAAACCACACCATAGCACCTGCCATCCGCCCGCAAGTTGAAGATCACTAATTCATCTGGATGGATTGAAAGAGCTGTTTCATAGTACCTCTCCACCTTCAGATTTGACAAAATGTGGCCATTGAAATAAATGTACCAGTTTGGTTAAAAGCTGAACTCAACTTGATCTGCATGGTTACTTCCCTTTGTTGGTGCATGTTCATTTGGATGTTGGATGGCATAAAACCGTGCTATAATGTTCCATCCTTGAGCTCAGCACTTCTCAGGTCAGCTGTTTAGATGTGGTAAGCCCCAAAATTTGAAAAAAAAAGTTTGCAACTTCTTAATTTGTGGTATCGGTTGTGTGTGTTTAAAAAATAGTTTGACGAAATTCAATTCCTTGACTTTTGAAGAAAGCAAGAAAAGGTACACAATGTAGGTGGGCTCCCGCCGACGCC